ACACACACACACACACACACACACACACACACACACACACACACACATCCACACAAAAATTTCATCCTTGTGTAAGTGCTATTAGGTTGGATATAGTCACCGTGATAATAACAATCCTAGTCATCTAACCTTTAAAGTTTACTGACATATTGTTCACATGGACCAGGACACAAACTTTAATTTATTTTGTAAGTAGTAAATTACTTTCCTGGATCTCTTTGATTATTTTTTAATTTATTCATGTTAGCTTTTAGATTCTTTCCAAGGAGACTGAGTTTATTGGCTTCTCATTAAAATCCTCTATAATTCTCAGCTGAAGAGGGGCAGCTATACTAGCGCCTGGCTCCGTAAAAGGAAAATGTTGTTCAGCTGCAGGAAGCTGTTGAAAGACGGCAGGAAGTCTGTCAAAATAAAATATTAATTATTAAAATTATTTTAAAAAAATACACAAATTAGCCGCTCCAGTGTATAAGCCATGTAGTCTAAAGTGTGAGAAAAACAGTGGTTTGTACACCTGCAATTATAGTTTTTTTTAATGTTATTATTAACTTTTGCTGGGATGCCCACTTCTGTGAAGATTGGCAGCTAGCTTTAATGTTTCCCACACACAGGTGAAGTATGAGGCTCCTCAAAAATTACAGCTACATTATTTTTAAATATGATCCCTACATGAAATGCTGTTGCATCTTTCAATACTGTTTGAAGTATCTATGCTCCTGAAACAATACACTCGCTCTCTGCTTCGGCATCCGGGATCCTGTATCAGCAGCTCTGTTTCTAAGCTTTTTTGGCATTTACTCTTATTTAGTTAAAGTGCAGTTTCTTGTGAAATGTATAAAAAATGGATGAGGAAATATTTATGGTGAATAAATATCTAAATATTTATGACCCAATAAGCTAGTGTAAGCTAGCTCCTGTACTTTTCCAGAGTAATTCATGATTTCACCTTGAGTTTGACAAAAAGCCACTGAGCAAGCAGCAGCTCCTCCATCATCCACATGCCTTCAATTGCTATGTTGTATTTTTGCATTGTACACACAAAGATGTTGCGGAAGTTTTAAGTGGCCGTACTATGACGACTCGCCAACATCAAAGCGGCACTCAGTTATATAGCAAACCCTAGAAACAAAATAGACCCAAGTAGAGTCAAATTAGGGCGAAGCAATTCAAGGTGAGACTGGACAATCAAAAGACAGCATATGATCAATTTTGGCATCGTTTCTTCTTTGTTTACACAAACCTTACCCTTCTCCAGACCAGAACTTCTGCCTTTTTTTCTGGCACGCACACCTGTCGATGATCATTTTATTAAAAGCCCCTGGTTGTTAGTTACCCATTTTGTTTCTATGAATGCTGTAAAGCTGTATCATTTTTTGTCTCAAACACTACTACTTTTGTATTTATATTTTTGTTGATCTAAAAATAAAATACACATTAGTTGTGTTGTCATTAGGGCTGGACAATAATTCAATATCGATATGTCACAATATACTTTTGTTCGATAACGGTGATATGAGTTTTAAGCACATTTTCGATATTTTGATATGATTACAGCGTTTCACTGACGCATTTCTTTTTCTGTTCGGGTTGAAGTGTGTGGTGACATGGATGTTACGCAGAGCTCGAGTCCAGAAGGAGTTAGCGATAGCAGGCTAGGCTAATCTTCCATCGCGCGTTGAAGTTTTCGCTTCAAAATAAGTGCCCATGACCGTCAGAATGTGACTGAACAAGTTTTCACAAGCGAAGAGAAAACAGACGATATAACTGATGAGAGAGGAAAGACTAATTCGGCGGTGTGGAAGTGGTTCGGCTATCTAAGAGCCGATAAACTGCAGGTTTCAGTGTGCGTCAAAATGTGACGAAGCCGTTCCAACTAGTGGTGGGAACGGTGGTTAATTTGAGCCGGAACCAGATCCGGGAACTCTCATTTTGACCGCTCGGATCCAGCAACTCGCGTGACAGAATCGGAGCTGCATTCACACACAGGCTTGTTAATTGTTGTTGCTCTCTAAAATAGTAATTTCAGTTCAACCTTTATACAGGTTGTTAGCCTCATTGAGCCTCATCATTTACAAGGGAGACCTGGTTTTAATCAAAATAATCAAATGTTTACCAACCTGATAAAATACATCAAAATGCAGGAAATTACATCTCTTTTATTCCAAAATTTTCTGGGGGAGGACCCACGGTGTGGGTTAGGGTTAGGTTATGTTGTTTAAAGTTAAAACTATTAAGTATCAAAGTAGAGAGTTTTATCTTTATTTGACGATGATTTCATTTTTTTTAAGGCTAAATACAAATAAAATGTGAACATTAATTTATTTGTACAGTTTTCTGAGGCTTTTATATTGTTTATATCGATATCGGAATTATATTATTATTGACTGAAATTAAGAAATATATTGTGATACCAGTTTTGGCCATATCGTCCAGCCCTAGTTGTCATTTCTAATGTTTATTTAATGTTTAGATCCACTAACAATCTGGTGACCTTTCTTCGTTAAGCGCCATCATATTCATAATGAAGATAGTGGAACTTTTTTTAAAAATGATTTTAAATCGGTTTAAATTTTTTTGTAATATAAATAATTAGAATGAACTAATTTAATTTTAAGTTAGAACAATAAAACCTTTAAGTTTCTGCAATTCTTTTTGTTTTGGTAACAAAACTCAAATGAGGACAACAATAACAAAACAAATCTGAAATGACAGCATCTGTTGTGCTGATTACAGAAGAAACCCACCTACTGCATGCATGTGGATGTTCACATCATTAGCTATGTGTAACACTATTTTCCATCTGCCAACTAGGACTAACTTATGATGAAGACTCAGTCAGCGTTTGCTCCATTCGAGCTGTCATTCCTGCAGACAGCTGAGAGGAATAAACATGCCCGCCATGAAACAGGCAGCTGACTTATCTGAAATCTAAATCTTTCCACCGTGTGTCTGAGCACATTTTATTCAATCTTACCAAATTCTCTAAATAAACAAAGCCTTCTGAAACTGACACTTTTTAACTGGGTGCTTCGATCAAAACCATGGAGGCTGATTTTCTCATTTTATATGACAGTGAGGTTGACTTGTTGACGTGCTCTCCTTTGACACGTCTCCGTGTGTGACATCAGCACTGACATGATTGCAGTTAATGGCTGTCGCAAGGTCTGAGTTACAACGGATGTTCTAGTGGTGTGTTAAATTTTTAACCTTGCTGCCTAATCTCTGAGTAAGAAAACAGATATTTTTGGCTGAGCTAGATATTCTAGAGTTCAGAGCAAGTTCATCTCATCAAAACCAGAGCCAGTTCGACCCCCACCCCTGTCATCAGCACCTGTCCAAGTGAAAACGCTGTCACCGAAGGGTTAGGATGATGGTGGTGATGATGATAGAGGTGACAGTCATGATATAGATGGTAGTGGCGAAGGAGATGATGAGAACGGGCTGGTAATGATGACAATGAAGGAAGAGCTTTTAGTGACGATGAAAGTAATGACAGTGCTGCAGGTGAAAGTTGAGGTAATGATGATCAAGGAGGTAGAAAAGTCGCCACGTGTCAGCACTTTGGAAAAAAGACCACCAAGCTGAATAAGAACTTTTGACTTTGTTCTTCTCTCTCTTTGTCTCTCCAGCTTGAAGCTTGAATGTGACAAGTTGGCGAGTGAGAAGTCAGAGATGCAGCGCCATTATATCATGGTGAGTTTATATATGTCTTCTGTATGTGTTGTGCACCTTTTTAGTCATTATGTTGCTATATATTTATTCAGGCTGCTGTTTAATATACTGTATTATTTTACATTATTAGTTTTGGATTTTTTAGCATATTGTTTGGTGTTCAATTAGTGTCTTAGATCCTTATATATTGTTTCTATTTAAACTTTATACTTTTGCAATTTTTGGGTGTAACTGGGACCTTGAGCACACAATTTCATTCCACCTTGTGTCCCACACGTGATGCGAATGACAATAAAGAAACTTGAACTTGATTTAACCATTGTTACATATTTTATCTTTATATTAGGGATGTCCGATATTGGATTTTTGGCCGATATCCAATATGCTGATATGTTAAAACGTATTTGGCGGATAACCGATACCAATATTTTTTTTATACGTTCCTTTGTCAGAACATAGCCCACTTATTTAGGCTTATTTGCTACAAAAATTGTGTAACAGCTGTAAGAGCTGGTGACATATATTCTGTAACAGCAATATGATATGCATAGCACTTTAACTTATACCTGTATTAAATGAAAAGTGTTAATTGTTATTAACATTAGTGACCTGCGATGCTGTCTCACTTGTGGAGGCTTGTTCCAGGTTCCTAGCTGCAGTGTGGGATCCTCTGCACTCCTGTGCATGAAGGACAGCCTTTTTAAGTTCAAAGTTTTTGTCTATCCATTGTGCCATAAGACTAACCATGCTAATGGGGCTAACACGACTTCCAAATGTCTGTGGTAAAACTCACCCAAGTGCTATCAGCTATTAGCTTCTCAATGATGTCGGAAAAGATGGCTTATAACTCTGGTAAGGCTATGTCGGAAAAATATATCTGACTGGGGACGATGTAGCGAGACTCAACGTAGTCCAAAAATCTTCACAATCTGACATCCTCAACAACAACAAAAAAAACTTCTACGCCGCCCACATTTTGACTTCTTCCTCTCAATCGTGATCCGATCAGGTAGGCACACGTGACGTCATCACGTTGTGCTGGCGCTACAGTCATCCTTGTCACTGGGTTGTCATACAAAAACGGCACCTTTTATATCGGTGAGTTATTTTGATGGAATGTCCGATGTTTAAGTTCAACACTAATATCAACCGATACCATGCCAATAATATTGTGCATCCGTACTTTATATTTATGGATATGATTTTACGTAGTTGACCCTGATCAGTCTATGAATTTACAGTACTATATGCAATGCACCAACTCTCTTCATATCCACTGTTTCCCATCTTTCTTTGTCTTTTTCTACATGCGCGCTCACACACAGATGCTCAGAGCTGTGCTCGCCTGCTCTCTGCTTCACCTCAGGGCTAATCTCATTGTTGCTAGCCATAGCTGTATAGTCTGATGTTTTGCCTCTAACTGATCCTCTGACTGGCTTTAATCTCATCTAATCTTTGCTGCTGCACACTCTCTCCACCATCAGAAGGCCAACAGAGACACACAAACTATGGACACACTTGCTTAGTTTGTTTTTCAGGCCAGCATTAACACCTACACTTTAACACACACACATCCATAGCTCTTATAGCTCTATAGCTATTAATATCTCAGATAGCTAAATTTACAAAGCGTAGACGCAAAAAATGATAAAATCTAAAATTCAAATAGGTTGTGTTGGAGTGTTTAAAATGTATAATTTGTTGCACTTTAATTTCAAATTCTGTATTGTAAAATAAATAGTAAAAATGTTTGCTATCTTAAGATAGCATTTCAATTGTTTTAAAACATCCAGCTTCTTCAATTACCCTGAAATTATATTAGTGTATTCCTTTGATGGTCAGGAAAACGTTCAGCAAAACCTTTCCTGGCCTGCAGGCTGATATTATCAAGAGAGGGTAGTGAAAAGAAAATTAAGGGCTTTCGTCAACGCTCAATATTTATGCTTTTATGTTTATAGTGCTCTGGAGCACAAGCTACAGCTGTTTTATGTCCATTTAGTTTTGTTAACTGTTCTGTTTTACATCAAAATGTGGTATAACTACATTGGTCTGCAGTGCACGATTGCCAGTTTACTGCAGAGTAGGACTGTAAGTGTGTAATTCTAGGGTTGGGGTTTGTCACAGTGCTTAATTCAGCTGATTGAAAAGGAGCTTTTAAGCAAAGCCAAAATGCTTGGAATCTCATTGGTACATTTTAACTGCACATTTCTATCTGGTTATTAATTTCAAAAAAAAAAATTTTTTATCTCCGTCTTGGATTTAGTCAGAAAGTAGCTCATAAAGTTTGTCAACAAGGTTGTGCTGCAGGAATAGTTGTCATTGATGCTGCTTTAATCAGATGGTCAGACCCAAAGTGTACATGAAGAAGAGCTGTCTGGATTAATGGATGATTGAAGAAAGGCTGGACTGTGAAAAGCATTGTGTGATTCTGCACAATAAGACACGAGGCTCTGATTGTTTTCCCAGAAAACAACTACTTAAGGCCACATAAAAACACTAGACTCATTCTTGTCTATGAAAAGTAAGAATGAACAGCAGCTGCAAAAATGTCCAGGCAAAAGGTGCCATGAAACTAATATTCTGAAGTGTTAGACAGATGGGTTCAGAAAAAAATGGAATAATTCTTATGCTCTGTGTTTTTTATTGTCTATAGGAGCTATACATATAAAACTGCTATTTCAGAGCGCTGTGTCAAATTTAAAACCTCATGACCGGGAAGTGCTCGCCTCATTAGCGCAAATAAGATTTTCTTAAAAATGTGACAGACCATATTATAGTTGCATTACATCGATGCATTTTACTAAACCAAGCATTTCATTATTAAAATTTTAGCATAATAGATCTTTATTTTCAACCGTTTTAGGCTTGAGCTCAATATGTTGCTCTAAAATTGAGCTACAAATGCAGTATTTTGAAACCTACTTCCTCGACGCAGTATGTAGTATACGCATACACATTAAACACAAACACACACACTTCCAATCCATCAGTGGCAGGCCAGGTCTTGTATCCCCACAGCGATCTCCCCACTCCTCTAATAGCATATCAGGTTGCCCCCACTCCCCCAGCCAGTGGCAGCACCTCCGTTTCCCCAGTGCTGTAATTACTTTAGGGACCTTCTGCGTGGGCAGCTATAGAGAAGAATACAGTGTGTGTTTGTGTGTGTGCATGCTTTCACTAGGCCCAATGTGTGTGCACATGCATTCACCTTGTCAGCGTGAGATTGAACAGAAAACAACAGTTGTGTGTGTCTGTGTGTGCGTATGAAAGAGCAATCGACTGACATAAATGTGTGTGAGAGCTGTGTGCTGTTTGTTTTTCACTGACAGAAGCAGACCCCTGCAGACAGAGCGGGTGATTAACAGGGTTGACGCCTAGAAGGTGGCCCTCTCATTAACAATGAACACACATACGCCAAAACACACACTTTTACACACATTAAATGGCTCCTTCGCTGTTTTATTTTTCTTTGTTGTGCGTGTTCTTGTTTTTGTAGGTGTTTGCATGTTGCATCAAAATCTTTGAAATGAGATTTTAAGATCTCAAATATACGACGGAGCTTTAGGGCCACGCTAAAAAATTGTATATTACATTACCACGCTACGAAAAAACAAATTTAGAGCCATAAAATTATGAGAATAAACTTATAGTATTATGAGAGTAAAGTCGAATAAAGTCTTAATATTATGAGAATAAACAAGACCTTTTTTTTGGCAGCTCTCATTTATTTATTTATTTATCTCCACAAGTCGGATCCACGACATGACCTGTCAGTCAATCCAGTAGGCGTGTCAACAAATGACTAATCCGAAGCTAAATGAGTTGTAATATACGAACTCAGACACATAAATCAGGGTTTACTTCATTTTAACTGTGGTAAAATGAAGAATGTTAAATTATACTTTGGTATTGGTTTTACTAATAAGGAGATACTTAATCTGTATCAGCATCAGATTATTATCAGTATCAGAAATTTGAACCTGCTTACAGTAAGGTGATATGCTCTGATGGGCTGCAGCACAGCTCTGCAGGTAAGGAGCATTTAGCTTCGGATTAGTCATTTGCTGACACGCCTACTGGATTGATTGACAGGTCGTGTCATGGATCTGACTCGTGGAAAAAAAATAAACGAGAGCTGCAATAAAAGTCTCGTACAACTTTCTTCTCGTAATATTAAGACTTTTCTCTCGTAATACTAAGACTTTATTTTTGTAATTTAATGTCTTTTAATTTTAATTTTTTCAATCTATTTTTTTTTCTTAGCGTGGCCCTAAAGCTCCGTCGTACAAATATGTATCATGGCGTTTTTGTTGTTTTAAAAGTTTAGTAATTTTTATTTTTATTGTTTCGAATTTGGATTAACCATTGCTCCAAATGTTTACTGTTCAGTTTGCAAGAATGCTGAAAATATGCTTTAAAATATAAGAATTTAGCCTTTACTGTTCTGTTTATGTTACTTCATGTAGAATTGTACCTGTCTGGTGTATCAATGTAAACAAGCGAGTAAAGGTGCAGCTGTTTCTGCTTTGCAATCTTTTTCTAATCAAACCATGATGATGGCAGAAACAGTAGTGAGACCGCTCAAGGCTTTTTCTGTCAAAAAAGCCCCTCTGCCATTAAAAGCCTCTTGGAAGTTGTTCAAGATGCTTTTGATTGGGGGGGGGGGGGGGGGGGGGGGGATGGGCTCAGACATTAGAATCCTGGTGTATGTCAGATGAGAGACATTCACGATGTGCTCTAATACACAGTAACTTCAAACATGATTGATTTTATGCACTATTCTTTAATCTTTTTTCTGTTTGTTGTTTGCTTTTGTCTGTTTAGTACTATGAGATGTCCTATGGGCTCAATATTGAAATGCACAAACAGGTGAGTTTATTTTAAATCTTTTGTATTTGTGTGTATTTGTATCTTGTAGTTTTCTGTGCTCGTTTAGACTCAAAAGCTTCAGTGATATTAGTTGGAAAGAAGCATGTTTTGTTCATTTTTTTGCCCCAGGACATCTGAAATATTTTGTATGTACTTTGCTTATGGTAAAGTAGTCAAGCCTCTACTGATATATCCTACAAATACAGAAGTTGATTACTAAATTACCCTTTAGGAAGATCGGCAATCAGGAAAAAAAAACTGTTTTGTTTTGCCTTTGTCAGTTTGCTTGGATAAAAGGCATTTTGTCAAAGCCCATGGAAATTTTGTGCTGTCTGTGCTGAAATACATATCTAGCAGCCATTAAAAATATTTCCAAGCTATTTTTTCATACAATGCATTTTGCAACAAAAAGTCGTGATTCAGGCGGCAGAGGGAGGAAAAACTGATGTTCGTGCTTCAGTTTGTGTAGCTTCAGCTGGAGTCATTTATGCCCAGCCTGAAGGTGGGAAAGAGTCATGGGTCTCCAAAGAACCAGCCCTTATCTGTGACCTCGTCTGGATCTGCACATCTACACACACGCGCACGCACACACTCGTTCCTTTTGATTGATGGCACACACTGACGTCCATATTGGCCGAAGCCAACACGCTTTGACAAATGGAAACACACAAAGAGAGCAGTAACAGCGTCCGTGTTTTAAAAGCGTTCACATTTATGCGCCCACACAAACTGAGGTTGGAAGGCCAATACGAGCACTGTGATGCATGCTGCACACACACGCACGCACACACACACACACACACAACTCCATGTGAGCACTTTATCACACATCTTCTCTTTATCTCACAGGGAGATAATTTACAAATCTTGTGTTTGTGTGTTTGTCGTGTGTGTGTGTGCATGTGGTATTGTGCATTTGCTCATGATCTTTTGTGTTGGCTGTCTGAAATTAAAGGGGGAAAAAGTTGATGTGCGGGTTAAGACAGTGCACGTGTGCGTGTCCCTTTTTCATGGGTGCTTAAATTCATCTGTGTATTACTAGAACATGTTCCCAAGAAGCTGTGTGTTGTTGTGCACGTGTACTCCTCGTTTGTGTGTGTGTGTGTGTGCACATTTTCTTTGTGTGTAGTGTGAGTGGGTGTGGCGTGCAGCTAGTTCCATTAGAGTGCTGAAATTGAAGGGGATGTGTGGAAACGAGTGTCGAGGAGCATTCATGTCTAGGCCTATTGTGCAGCGCGCCCCCCCCTCCTTCTCCACTTTCCACCTCCATCTCCATTTCCTCTTTTTTCTTTTCTGTCTCACACATTGGGAGATGCTCACAGTTGCACCCTCTTGATCACTTTATTCTTTCTCAATCCAAGAATATTCCCTCCACACTTTGTATTTTTACTCTTTTTTTTTTAAATTCTTAATCTCTTTTCTTTGTATCTTAGTTTTGTCTGTATTTCTAATTCAGGTTTCCTGTTAACTATTGTCAGTTTTTAATTTCTGCATGCATAGTTATAAACGCCTTTGATATTCGATGTGCTATGAGATACATGTGTGTCATGAAAGTGTTGAGAGTTTGTGTCTAATGATGCATATTCTCAACAAGCTGCTACTTAACATCAAACCATAAACTCAAATCAAAGGAAACTTTGTTGCTGAACCCCTTTCATAAATATTCACACTACTCGTATCAAAACACCCTGTGCTTAGGTAAAAACACTGTAGCAATGATAAACCATTCATAAAACACTTAATGTATAGATAACTAATCTGCATTTACATCTAACTGGTTTTATTTTTGGCATTTTTATAAAATAAAAAGTCAACTATCTCTCCTCCCCCCCCCCCCCCCCCACACACACACACACAAATGTTTCAGACTTCATAAAGCTCAGCATTTAGTAGCATGGCAGTTATTTTACCGTTTTCCATTTTAGAAATAATTCTGAAGTTTTGATAATAAATGCACACAGAATTAGTATAAATAAATGTAACATTAAGAGTTTATTTGGATCCTTTAGGAAGTGTTTATAAAGGAATAATAACCTACGGTGGCCCCATAAATATAGCTCTGTCAGCCACATATGGTCTCCTGGACTGTAGTAGATTTTGAAGTATAATAAAGTAAATTAACCACCAAATTGTGCTGAAGAAAGGTACTTAATTTTTGACATTTTCCTCTACTTACATGAGTACGGTTGAGATTAGGTTGTGGTATTTAAAATTTGTAGGCAGGGAAAAATCTTTTATTTTTTTTCAACATTGCTGAAACAGTAGCTCTATATCTGACAGGAAGTAGTTCCACAAAGACCATCTAGAGAATGAACCTGCACACAGAGGAAGTTTGTGTAATAGCAGGGTTGTTTGGGCTGTAAATGGTACATGGACTGTACTTATATAGCACCTTTCTATCTAATCAAGATCTTTACAACACAATCTGTGTCCTCATTTACCTCCACACACACATTCATACAGCACTCTACTACATCTCTACAAAGATAATCTGAACAAATCATTCTAAAAAGATTAATCTGTGCTATATCACATTCATACACTGATAGGACAAACATCAGAGGCAATGAGGGGTTCAATGTCTTGCCCAGGGACACTTCAACATGTGACTGCTGGTGGAGTCGAACCCCCAACTCTCCCAATGGAGGACAACTGTAATCACTGTCACATCTGCCCCAATTTTGTTTTCCATACTTCCTTTTAACACATCTTAAATCAAATTGAACATGTTTTAGCCGTTTGCCTGTTCTTTTGAGTTTACATTAATCCGACTAATTGCCAAAAAGAAGTTTGCTAAACAGTAATATCTGCATCAGTACATGCAGTGAGTGGCCAGGTTTTCCTGTTTTTACTTTTACATTGTCTGGTTTTACATTTCGCTGTGAAACTAGGCCATATATGTTATGTTTTACAGCTTTGTGAATAATTAAGTCCTCCAGCAGAGCTACAGAACTTGAAAAAAGCAGAGGTAAACGTGAGGAGACAATCTGAGAGAAAACAGGCTTTAGAAAGGAAAACCTGAAGGAGAGGCCCACAAGAATAGATCATAGCGTTTAGATAAAAGAAGAGACAGGCTGAGTCGGGGGGGAGACGGGGACAGACTAAGGGGGCAATGAAACAAGAAGAAGCCATAGATGGCATGGCATGAGTCCCACTGAGACATTTTAAAGACATTAGAGACGTCGGGAAGATTGTATGTGTAATGACAAGCGGATAGAATAGAGCTCTTGATGGGGGTGCTGTTCTCTGCATGCGTCATGATTATTAGAAGGGCCCCCTCTTTCCTCATCATGCCTTGAATTAGGCTCTAACACAATTTACAGCTGCTTTGCATATCTTGGGCAGGTTGGATGATTACCAACCAAATATGATAAAAGATCTGAGCGTAAGAAACATTCATGAGATGAAAGAGAAAAGAGTTTTTTTGTGTCTGCATTGGCAATCCTTTCTTTTTGTATATTTGTGTGTAATTGCCTTGTAACCATGAGTTCTGTGAGGACGATGGGGTACAAGCAACTTAATTAATGAGGTGAATCAAATGATTTTTGCTATAATGGTGTGAGTGTGATACCAGACATACAGTGCCTTGCAAAAGTATTCGGCCCCCTTGAACTTTTCAACCTTTTGCGACATTTCAGGCTTCAAACATAAAGATATAAAATTTTATTTTTTTGTGACGAATCAACAACAAGTGGGACACAATCGTGAAGTGGAATGAAATTTATTGGATGTGTCAAACTTTTTTAACAAATAAATAACTGAAAAGTGGGGCGTGCAATATTATTCGGCCCACTTGCGTTAATACTTTGTAGCGCCGCCTTTTGCTGCAGTTCCAGCTACAGTCTCTTGGGGTTTGTCTCTATCAGTTTTACACATAGAGAGACTGAAATTCTTGCCCATTCTTCCTGCAAAACAGCTCGAGCTCAGTGAGGTTGGATGGAGAGCGTTTGTGAACAGCAGTCTTCAGCTCTTTCCACAGATTCTCGATTGGATTCAGGTCTGGACTTTGACTTGGCCATTCCAACACCTGGATACGTTTATTTGTGAACCATTCCATTGTAGATTTGGCTTTATGTTTTGGATCATTGTCTTGTTGGAAGATAAATCTCTGTCCCAGTCTCATGTCTCTTGCAAACTCAAACAGGTTTTCTTCCAGTATGGTCCTGTATTTGGCGCCATCCATCTTCCCATCAATTCTGACTATCTTCCCTGTCCCTGCTGATGAAAAGCAGGCCCAAACCATGATGCTGCCACCACCATGTTTGACAGTGGGGGTGGTGTGTTCAGGGTGACGAGCTGTGTTGCTTTTACGCCAAACATATCGTTTTGCATTGTGGCCGAACAGTTCGATTTTGGTTTCATGTGACCAGAGCACCTTCTTCCACATGTTTGGTGTGTCTCCCAGGTGCTTGTGACAAACTTTAAACAACACTTTTTATGGATATCTTTGAGAAATGTCTTTCTTCTTGCCACTCTTCCATAAAGGTCGGATTTGTGCAGTGTACAACTGATTGTTGTCCTATGGACAGACTCTCCCACCTCAGCTGTAGATCTCTGCAGTTCATCCAGAGTGATCATGGGCCTCTTGGCTGCATCTCTGATCAGTCTTCTCCTTGTTCGAGATGAAAGTTTAGAGGGACGGCCGAGTCTTGGTAGATTTGCAGTGGTCTGATACTGCTTCCATTTCAATATGAGTGCTTGCACAGTGCTCCTTGGGATGTTTAAAGCTTGGGAAATATTTTGGTTCCAAATCCAGCTTTAAACTTCTCCACAACAGTATCTCGGACCTGCCTGGTGTGTTCCTTGGTCTTCATGATGCTCTCTGTGCTTTGAACAGAACCCTGAGACTATCACAGAGCAGGTGCATTTATATGGAGACTTGATTACACACAGGTGGATTATATTTATCATCATCAGTCATTTGGGACAACATTGGATCATTCATAGATCCTCACTGAACTTCTGGAGTGAGTTTGCTGCACTGAAAGTAAAGGGGCCGAATAATTTTGCACGCCCCACTTTTCAGTTTTTTATTTGTTAAAAAAGTTTGACACATCCAATAAATTTCATTCCACTTCTCGATTGTGTCCCACTTGTTGTTGATTCTTCACAAAAAATATTTTTTTTATATCTTTATGTTTGAAGCCTGAAATGTGGCAAAAGGTTGAAAAGTTCAAGGGGGCTGAATACTTTCGCAAGGCACTGTATATTTTTCCCAGTTTGTGAAAGTCATTGCAGATGTTTCCCGTACTAATGATTGTGTGATTTTTAATCTCAGATAATTTACATTTAATCAAGATTTGAAATGCAAGGTCTGTTCGAGGGGGGATGTCAACAAAACACTTATGATTAAAACCAGGAATAATTTGATCCCACCTTAAGTAAATGTCAGTTTATTAATTGAGACATTTTGACCATTTCTGTGTCCTATCACTGTGAATTTGACCTCACAAATCACAATATAATTGAAGGATTTACTTTTCTTTAAGCACTAAAATATAAAGACCTTCCTTGTGCTGGCTTTGCCTTTTAATTTAGCTAATTTTACCATCATTCAAGTGCATGAATCTTGGTTTCATATGAGCAGAAGTTGTTCTCCATCTTTAGCTTTTAAAATAGTTGTTTTCTTACAGATCCTGTGTAGTCTTTGTTTTTGAATTGTTCCAGTGTTTTTACCTTTTTTATATTAAAGAATAAACTTTTGAATCAGAGCTTGACTAGACTCTGCTCGTCTAATAAGTACTATTGTAGCTGTATGCTTCAGTCACAGTCCACAGTTATACAATCTCTAGTGTTGATTTGATATCTCGAGCACATTTTAAAGCTCCCACAAGCAGCTACTGGTAATTGCAAATTGAAATAAACTCTTTAAATTCAATAAAAAATGACAAGAGCAGATAATGGAAAACTGGAAGAAATATATCAAATAAATAAGGCAACAAAGTTCTGAATTTGCCTCAACTACATGTCACAGCCATTATAAGAATCATAATAATAATAATAATATACAATCATTATAAAATCAGAGCAATTGATAAACTAAACTTATGAAAATGTGAAAAATTTGACTTTGTCCAAAGATGCAATTTGTTAAAACTGTACTGAAGAATCCAACAATGTTCAGTCAGGTCATCTGGATGGTTGCTTCTTTTTTTGCTGAGACGTTTCATCCTTCATCCAAAGGACGCCTTCAGTCTGAGAAGCCACCAAACAAACTGATTCACACAAACGGCACACTCCATAATGGGGAAAAAACAGTTTGCTGGTGCTAAGATGGCCTCCAGGACCTGCCTTCTCCCCGATGAACTCCTCTGAGACAGTCATGCCAAAGTGGTTCAAAACACCAAAGTTCATGTTCAATAATCCAGGTAAAAATCCAACAAAGTTCAGTCGGGTCATTTGGACGGTTTCTTTATTTGCTGACGTTTCGCCCTTCATCCAAAGAAGTTCTTCAATCTGTGCAGCCACCAAACAGATTCCCACAAACAGCACACTCCATAGTGGAAGAAAACAGGTTGCTGGTGCTAAACCGTCCAGATGACCTGACTGATCATTGTTGGACTTTTACCTGCGTTACTGAGCATGATTTTTTTGGTGTGCTGAAGCATGTATGACATCATAAAAGTATGGAGTCATCTTTCTTTAGACACGGTGGACTTACTGCTTCGCATTTGTAGATGACTTATGTTAAAAATCACACTTGATGATTCTGACGCCGAATCTTTGAAATGGATTTCTAATTTTTGTTCATGTTTTTACTGTTTGTTCTTTTTCTCTGCTGTTGCTGTGAAAATACATAAATGGAGCCAGGAATTAACCCTCAAAGACACATGCAAAAAAAAAAAAAAAGTATATCCTTGTTTTTATAGTAAGGTTTTCATGGTGTACAAATAAAGGTCCAACAATTGACATCATTCTAACTTGTTGCTTGTTGTGGCTTGGCAAGTTTGACATTCAGATATCAGCTGTTCTGCTGCCACAAATAACAAATGATGAGCAAATATGTAAACATTATGAAATAATTAATAACTGTTTCTACCTTTAGTCAAAACATCTTGATCACCTGAATACCAGGTTCATTCTGTTCTGTCATCTGAATTACTCTGCTTCTTCACAGGCTGAAATAGTGAAAAGATTGAACGGGATCTGTGCACAGGTCCTCCCCTACCTGTCTCAGGAGGTAAACTCCAACACACACACATTTATATGAAGTTGCCACTAGCCCTCTGATCCACAGCACTATTCCTCACTTCCTGGAATGAGTTCACCCTCGTTCCCACCTCATTACCTCTCCACCTCCATGACCCATTGCTCAGCATCCGTCTTCTCCCGTCATTCTTCATCTCCCGCTTCCTGTTTCCTTCCACCTCCGCTCTCCTCTGCCATATTTAATCTGTAACCTTCATCGCAGTTTTCCCTCCCCCAACCTCATTTCTTTTTGACCTCCTCTTCTACTCCTCAGCTTCCTTAATGTCCTTCGTCTACCTCCTCCTCTTTCCCACCTATCCTTTCTTTTTGTGTGTTTTTGTGTCAGCGTAATAAATGGCTGTGTGATTCAGATAAGCCGGACTCTTATCTGCCCACCAGGGGGTTGACCTCCACCCATTATAGCGCGCCAGTCGACCATTCATTTGGCAGTGTCACACGAGGCCTTTGTGTACATGTGTGTATATATAAGACTGAAAGAATAGCTAAATGGCCAGAGGGGGAGGTGCATTAGTGGCAAGGGTTGTCATGGAGTTTGTTGGGACTATTGATATTGATCTAACCTCTCCACCGACAAACTTTCCTTCTCTTTTTTTCTATCTCACTGTTCATTGTGTCTAATGTCCTCCCCCCAGCACCAGCAGCAGGTCCTAGCAGCCATAGAGCGGGCCAAGCAGGTCACCCCTCCAGAGATGAACTCCATCATAAGGGTAAGATGTTCCAGCCGCTCAGCCCCACCCATGTGTCTGAGGGTGGCTAATAAAGTGGATGCATTATCCACTGCAATCAGTTCTATTCTTTAATAATTGTTTATTGATTCATTGAGTGGAACACTGTTATCAATTTTTTAAACAAACATAGTACTTTTGTGCACTTTGTAATTTGGATCAGTAGCAAAGAACAGTCTGAGAACGAAGAGTAGAACAGATGAAGAAACACTCAGGCTGTTCCAGAAATCATCATAAACCCTAAAAGGAAGAGTTCCCATCTCTTGACATTGTGAGACACGCCTCCGTTCAGGAAATCCATTCCATAGGTTTGAAGCCAACTTGCAAAGCAGCTGGCAGGGAATCACATGAGGAGACGTTTTACTTGGAGACACAGACATGCATCATGCAGGTTGGATGGGAAAAATCTGATACGTAAATTATGCTGGTATCGGAGCCCGATACCAACACTGGATCGGATCGGCCCCATCCCTAGTAGAAATGTAGTTTAATTATGGCCAGATTGAGGAGTTTATGGCTTGTGTGTGTAGGCCAGGACTAAAGTGGATTAATTCTGGAAAAACTATTCTAATCTCTCTCATATTTTTTTTTCATTCATTCAACCTTTATTTATTCAAACTACTCTCGTTGAGCCACGAGGACTCGTTTACAAGAGAGACCTGTTCCAGACAGAACATATAAAGTTCAGACAACAATAACACTAAACCACGACAACAATAAACTACAGTAAAAATGCAGTTAAAATAAGAGTAATGTATAGAACAATAAACCAGGGTGCCATAAAACAGGCTGAAAAACTAAAAACAAGAAGATGAGAACAGATTTTATGGCAGTTCATGCAAACACTATTTTACAAACCCTCATCCTGCTGTCATTTTCATGTACAGGATCTTTTGGCAGAAACAAAATATTCATGTTGAAGTGTCCCAGATTGCACCAGAAGTGCTACAGCAGTCTGCTGCTGCTATTTGCACTTAAACAAAACAAGTAAAGCAAAATTGATGGCAATGTATTTTTTTTAATTAAATAGCATGAATTGCAGGAACTACAATGAAACATTTGAGCTGTTTTAAGATAACTCCAATGGCATTCAAAGAGCTATCGGTAACAGATAAGATATTGTTTATACCTGTCCTTAAATCCCCACCTCAAATTATATGAATTTTCCTTTAAGATACAGAAGTAATAAATTGGATTTAAAGTTTCAAAACCTAAATGATTAAAAGACACTAGAATCTTTGTCCAATATTCAAGTTTTTTTAAGTGTACAGCCTCCTTCTCCAGCAATTTTAACTTAGTACCACTATCATTTATGGTAATAAGCTCAACTTTTTCCAACACTGTGCTTCTAAGTTTTTTAAATTTAGTCTTAATTTAAATACCCCTAATGACATCGGATTCCCATCATCTCAGAGAAGGGGTAAAAAACATGTTTTTGTTGTGGGCTTGTTAAATCTAATTTAATTATGATACAGGGATTAAAGTGACGCTGCTTTCAACAAATAAAGAGACCCAGAACTAGTTTCACCCAGTCAGAGTAAAGCAGGGCAGGGCAGGGCAGGTCGTGCTTTCTGATGTCCGGTTCATTCAGGAGCAAACTGTGTTCTCAATGTAGTGAGAGACTGCAGGTGAGGGCACCACTTAGTCTCCTTCCCAAAGCTCTCACTGGCAGTCAGGATCACAGAGATCCCGCTACAGTCAGAGCACTCCTCCGGCACTGCGCCCCCTACCTTCCCTACCTTAATATCTATCGGAGCATCGTCATTATTGTACAGACATGTCAAACATGCGGCCACTTATTAGACAGCACCCCTTCATCATTATTATTAGCTCTTTGTTTGCTGCTCTGGGTGCACCAATATTTAACTCTGGGTCTAATTATGTAGCCCATCCACTGTGTTGCTGCAAAACAAGAACAACAGGGTGTCTTAGTGTATTTATCTTAGTGTATTGCTAAAATTAGAAACATCTTATCTAAAAATTATGCAGAAAAACTGATTTGTGCATTTGTCACGTCTAGACTGAACTATTACAATGGTTTATTATCTGAGTGTCCAAATACGTCTTTAAAATGTCTTCAGTTGTTCCAAATGCTGCTGCCAGAGTCTTAACTGGAGTTAGTAGGAGAGATCAGATCTCTCCAGTTTTAGCTTCTCTCCACTGGATCCCTGTCGAGTCCAGAACTGAATTCAAAATCTTATTTCTAACCTACAAAGCCCTCAACAACCTAGCTCCATCTTATATTACAGATCTTATTGTTCTATATTTTCCTAACAGAGCACTTCACTCTCAGACTACAGGCTCACTTGCAGTTCCTAGAGTTTCCAAAAGCAGAATGGGAGGAAGATCTTTCAGTTATCAGGTTCTTCACTTGTGGAACCAACTTCCAGTTTCTGTCCGTGAGGCTGACACATTGTCCAGTTTTAAGACTGGACTTAAGACTTTCCTTTTTGATAAATCCTATAGTTAGGGTGGGCTTGTTATGCTGCTGTAGGCTTAGACTACTGGAGGACAAATTGACCAAATGTCTTAAAATTAATTGTTAAAATTGAATAGTTTTCTTTTGATACTATTTCTATTTCTTAACGTGATTCTTGACCTGCCATTGTGTATCTGTTCCTCTCAAACCCAGCCTGTCAAAGCAGATGACTGCTTGTCCTGAGCTGGTTCTGCTAAAGGTTTCTTCCTCAAGAGGGAGTTTTTCTTTCCACTGTCGCCTTCATGTTTGCTCAAGATGAGAGTCTGTGATGGAGTTAAACTCAAAGCAGTCTACTCCTCAGATAAATAGTCTTAAATTATTATATTTATATATTAATGTTTTTGTTCATTGCTCTGAGACGACTTCTGTTGTGACTTGGGGCTATATAAATAAACTGAATTGAACTGAATTGTATTCTGGTTGGAATAGAAAGCAAGCTGGTCTGCACAGGCTTGTGTTTGTGACTAAACTGCCCAGAATCAATGCTGCAGTTGGAGAGTAACAAGTTATCTGTCCATAAACCATAAATAGCTGCCTTTTTGACACCGTTTGTGTTCTGTGCCTTCTGCTCTCGTCTCTTATTAGAACATTATGAGTATTTCTTCACTTGTGAACAGGTTGTTTGTTGCAGCCTCTTCATTCTCTTCTAGACCTGTTCAAACTTTTGCACCTGATCCACCATGATTTCTGTGAACCTTTGTAATGTGTGTTTTTATCCCACTGAGTGTTTTTTTTTTTTTTTTTTACAGTGGTTTGTGTTCTGAATCTTAATAAGTTGTGTTTGGTTGTTTTTGATGCAGCAGCAGCTCCAGGCTCACCAGCTGTCTCAGCTTCAGGGCCTGGCCTTGCCCATGACCCCCCTGCCTCTGGGCCTGAGCCAGCCAACCCTCCCTGCCGTCACCACCTCCTCCGGTCTCTTCTCACTCTCCTCCCTGCTGGCCTCCCAAGCCCAGCTGGCTAAGGAGGAGAAGGCTTCTCGAGACGGCGTCGACAGCCACCGCGAGGAAGACGGAGACAAGTCTGATTAGATGGTGTGTCCCCCACTCAGCTCTTTGATCACAGAGAACTGAATACTCCAGATCTGACCTCCTCCTTGGCCCCATAGCCTCTCCTCTGGTCTCCATCTCTTTTATCTAATCCAACACAGGTTTCTGTCTCCCCAACAAAGCTTCAGACCTCTAACCAGTCCCAGTGGTAGGAGAACTTTACCGCTCTGATCTCTTCATCTTTACAATTTGAGAAAAGTTTTAATTTGTCTCTTTTAGATCTGATTTCCTTTTTTATTTTTATTTTTTCTGTTTAAGACACATTTTTTTCAGTTGGCTTTTAATTATTTTCATTTTCTTCCTGATTTTTTAAAATCTCTTTAAATTGTTTTGTTTCTGTATTGTTTTTCCTCTAAACCATCCTCCTCCCACTTTCCCCACTCTTGTTCCTTTTTTTGTTAGTTTTTTGCAAAGGTTCTTGTTTGGCAGGACTGATCTGAAACTGCCTGCATCATTTTCATGATGTTAAACAGACAAAAACCTATAAAATGTATTGGAGACAAAACGATTCAAACCAAGATAATTAACGTATCTTTTTAAATTTATGTCCAGTACAATAAAAGCTCACCTGTTGACAGAGTTTGTCATTTAATTCAAATTTTAGAGGAATAAAGACAAAAATTAACCATTTTACAGCTGATGAATCCGCCTTTTCAGCTTATTGCAGATTTTTCAGGGTACAGAAGAATCCACCTAACACCCTAACTGAGAAGCATCAATAGTCAAACCTGTAGTAGCACAACCTGCAACAAAACGACCACTCTCCCCCAACACTTTTCCATCTTTAACGTTCTCTATTATTGAAATTTACAAGTTGAGAGTTATGAGGGCAGCCAGTATCTTTGAAGAATCCTCACACAGTGCAGGTTTCAGCAAAACAAGGACAAAGCAGAAACAGCATACAAGCTATGTTACATGTGAATGTCATATTTATCCACTCAGCAGGAACAAACGTAATACACGGGCTCTGGACTAAAGGTATTTATCTCTGCATGTGGCCGGTCCAAGCCTCTCTGTGGAAAAGCTTTGGATTCTGTTGCTCTTGAAATAGTCTGCTATATCCCAGCATTAAAAACTGTAAATTCACATTTAAATACTCTGCATTATGAGTTCACACCTTTCATGTTCTAATACAAGTGGTTTATTCCCTACATGCAAGGCGGAGTAGGAAAACTCAAATTCTGAATAGTTTTCATGTAAAACACACCATGGATGAAGCACAGACTGTGCAGCTCCTAGAATAAACAAAAGAAACAACTCGTTTTACGACGACACCTCTAGTCCAGTGGAAGTGTTTTACGACGACACCTCTAGTCCAGTGGAAGTGTTTTACGACGACATCTCTAGTCCAGTGGAAGTGTTTTACGACGACACCTCTAGTCCAGTGGAAGTGTTTTACGTCGACACCTCTAGTCCAGTGGAAGTTAGGTGAAACCGTGCATAGAAACTGTATGGAAACAGTTCAGGGCTTCTTATCTGCCTGACAGCGTAATTGTATAAATTGTCATAATGAGTAGGTCCCCAAGTATTATTGGCAGTTGAAATAAAATTATGTCTCCCAGCTCATAAAATAACACCACAAATGTATAATTTTTGCTTAAACTTTTATAATTTTTTCTAGAAAAGAAACAAAAATGATGAAGAAGAAAGCATCACGTGACAGAAAACTGCTCTGACACAGTCATCTCAGCTGAAACATAAAATAATCTCTGCAGTCTCAGTTTATCTACCTGCTGAACCCCTGAACTGGAGGCTACTTATTAACCCTTTGCATATTTTTTCCACTCTGGATCTATGTAGTTGCAGCACACCAGTGTTTGTGCAAAAGGATTCTGGAGATTAAACCATGGGATCAGATGTATAAGCAGAAAATTAATGTAATAATGTATGTTCTTTCTGTTTAACCACAGTTCTTAACTCTTCAATTAAAAACTATTGGAGGAGCATCTTTTGTTCAGTTCTGCATATTGTATCAAATCTTTTCGTTGCAGATCGATGCATGATGTATTAAATGCAGTGACGTGTAATTGCGTTTCAGCTGTCAGGTGAGCTGAAGGCGGCAACAATGTTAGAAAACCAATCGCTCAGTTCGTGGAGCAGCGTAAGCTCTGACCAGGTAACAAAAGTCAAATCTGTGTGAACTGTTGGTGTGCTGGGACTTCCAGCAGCTCACCTGAATCACAACTGACTTTAGTAAATGTTTATTCCTGAGAGTTGAGGTGCAGTTGTACAAAAACATGTAAACATTTTGCATGGATTTCTAGAAAACTCGGTCCTGTTGGTAATCCTGTCCACGTTGGATCCCATGGATGGACATTTTTATAGCTGATCTGTAATCACACATTTCTCCCATCATCTCCTCTAGAGAGCGAGAGGTTTCCCTTCGTGTAGCTCTTTCAGGTTGAAAAGTCCAAGAACTCGACGTGCTTTTTTTTTGTACGATGACAAAGCACAGATTGTGGCGGTTTGATACATTACCAGTAGAAACAACTAAATACAGGTGAGGGGACTTCAGAGTTAAACCGTTCTGTTTTGAGGGTAAGCTCTTAGTAAAACCTGCCGTCGTGTATCTGTATACGTGACAACTTGTGTATAAACAGCTGTACAGGCATGGTGGTCGGTGATGCAAGGCCGTTCTCACGACAACTAAACTAACTCCTGCTTGTGAATTAAGCTTGCTCTCAGCACGTCACCCTCCCATATAACCGCACACCGTTTGTATGTGCAGTAGCTGCACGCTGCTCATAGTGAAACGCAGAATGTGTAGACACATCAGTGCATGTCTGCAGGGAACTCATTGATTTCTTTCTAGCAGAAACTTTCCGTTTTGTTTTAGCCAGACGTTTTGTGATCAATGCACTTGATTCCCCCCCCCCCCTTTTTATTTTTATTTTTGTTCTAAACAATACTGAATATAAACAGCAGAGCTGACATTATAAACAAAGAAAGCTGTAAGTAGATGGAGGAGCTCGCCTCTCTGTACACTTATACATAATAAGCTTTATGTGTATATGGCTGCATCTCTTGTCTTTCCTGGATGATTCTTGTGCTGTTTGTGTTACAGATCTGACATGACACCAGGGAGAAACTATAACTGTTAACCCTTAAAAAACTTTTTAAACCCCTTCCTCTGTACCCCCCCCCCCCCCATTAACCCCTCTCCCATCCTTGCTCTCCAATGCCCCGCCCTCGTAGCTTGAAGCATTGTAAGCGTTTTGAGCTTTGTCGTTTTTTTTTTAATATACTTTTATGTATAATGTAAAACAAAAAGTGTGTACTTTGGCAGAAAAAAAAAAGTTTTGTGTCTGAAATCATAGCTTCGTTTAAACAAACAAACAAACAGTGCAACAAAAATTTACTATAAATGATATGAAATGTTCTGCAGTAAGGAAGGACTTCTTGTGCCTTACAAATAAAATCAATCAAATCATGAAAACCTTCTCTGCGTTACTTTATTTACAAATCTACAGACAGCCTTTAGATTGGTGTAGCTTGGTGAGTAACATTTGTGCAGTTTCACGTAGAGCCCGACCGACATATCGATAGGGACCATGTTTTAGGTCGATATAAGCGTTTGGGGACATGTCAGTATCGGTAATAATTAGCCCATTATGCGCTGAATAAACACTTTTAGTTTTCACCCCTAAAATCCTGGGACCGTGCTGTGTCCTTACTTGCAAATGGTGTAATTGTAGAATGTATCCAGCAGAGGGCGCATGCAAACTACTTTCAGGTCTTGGCCTTGCTGCACGCTTGACTCAATGCAGCTGATTGGAGAAGCAAGGAGCAACTACGTAAATACAGTGTAGCATCTTTTGCTGAGCAGAGCGTGGTAAGTTTATGGTAACTGATTTGGAAAATAAAAAAATCAACAATAAATTCTCTTCAACCTGCTTGTCATTAGCTACGTGCCTCTCAAGTTGGCAAGCTAACGTTTAGATAACCTTGCATAGGTATTGCCTTTTAAAACTTTATACAGAACAATAAATCAAACATAACGGTCAGTATATATATATCAGTGTTGGTAACATCTTTGTCGTCCTCAATGAAATGCATTGTTTGTCTGAAATCTTAACTTCAATGCAAAGAAAAAACTCAGCTGCAGTCCGTATTAATTGGGCCTTCACAAACAATGAGCAGAGAAGGGCGTTTCTTCCTTTGGTTTATAGTTTTGTAATGCACTTGATTATTTTATAATGTTCATAAAGTTTGTAACTTGTGCAGTTTTATTCTAGAGGTAACTGTGAGTGACGATGAAATTATAAAAGGATAATGGCCCTTTTAAGAAGGATTAATGGTTCACCAGTAAAAATATGAAAGACGAAACGTTTCTACCAAGAAAAATGTCCAGATGAGCTGTTTTAACTCTTGTGTGTGTTACATTATTAACGTTTTGCAGTTTGAATGTACGAACTGAACTTTTGACAAGTATTTCAATGGTAAATTAAAAAATTCTTATCTTTGTAACAAGCGTTAAAACTTGTTTAAAAGTAGCTGTTTACTTAAGATTCTTAGGGGTGGACAACTCGTTTTCAGACAATATATCAGTTATCAGAATTAGCCTTCCCCGTCAAATATCATTATCGATGATAGCCAGAATTTCCTTACCGGTCAGGATCATGTTTCATGTAATTGCTTTCATGTGTACGAAACACAGACAAAATTCATTGGATGTACAGGTGCATTAAAAAAATTATATTGTGAAAGTTCAATATTTTTTGTCCGTCACTTCAGAAAGTGAACCTCATACATAGATTCATAACCCAGAGTGAAATATTTCAAGCCTTTATTATAATTTTGATGATCATGGGTTACAAAAAAAAAAAAAAAAAAAAAAATGTATTATCTCAGAATATTTAAATAATCCACAGCCAGCTGTTGGTACTTTAGTCAGTGTGGGTAGGAGCCAAGACCTGCTGGAAAATGAAACCAGTATCTCCATCAAGCTCGTCAGCAGCAGAAGGAAGCATGACGTCTGTAAAATGTCCTGCTAGATGCTGCGTGGACTGAGGAAACTTCACTCTGGACTTGAACCAACGTAGCTTCTGGACCTCTCCTCTCTTCCTCCAGACTCTGGGACCTTAATTTCTAAATGACATGAACATTTACTTGAATCTGAAAAGAGGACACTGGACCACTGAGCAACAGTCCAGGTCTTTGTCTCCTCAGCAGGTAAGATGCTTCTGGTGTTGTCTCTGGTTCAGGAGTGAACCTGAGGACTGAGACATTTGTAGATCATGTCC